TATTTTTTGATAAAATAGGAAAGGGGAGATGAAAAGAAGGGAGCGGAATAACACATAGGAAGAAATTAAACTGCCCAAGACCAAGTTTGCTTTTAGCTAGAAAATAGAGAATCAAGTTCTATCGACGCCCAGAGCAGTAGTTTCGGAAACCTTGAGACCAGCATTCTTAGCCACACAGAGAACCTTCTCCAGTGCCTCCTGAAAGAATAAACACTTGTTTTTACCAAATGGCAGAAAAGATGTGGCAACTCCTGGACTCAATGCCATGAGAGGACAAGGATGGGAATTGTGTCGTCTCATGGCTGATGGAGACGTTTTGTTCAGTCATGTAGCTAACTTATGTCAGTGGGAAAACAGGGCAGTGTGCAGGCAGCGGAGCCCTGAGATGGGAGGTGATGACGGGAATCCTTGTTCCCCTCGGGTTATGGATTTCAAGTATTTCCTTGAAGCCCACTAGATTTCACACAACATCATTTGTTCTGAAAACACGCAATAAGCAGCTAGGGTCGATGAAAACAGGCGGCAGAGTCAGCATCGCTAGAGACCTGAGAGGTCGTATATTTGGATGTGTCTCAAATCGTCTTTTTCCACTATCATCTTAAAGGTGCTAATATGTCAACAGACCTACCTGATATCTACTGAATCACAAATTTCTAGTAAGGGGTTTCTGGTGTTTAATAAAATAATAAAAAAAAACCCAGAAACAATCAAGCAAAATACCCTTTACCCCACTTGTTTTATTCTACTGATCTAGCCCAAACCTTCCTGTAATGAATGATAAAGGTCTGGAAAAGCAGATAGCTTGGTCTTGATCATGGCACTAGTGAATGGGAGAGCCAAGGTTGGAAATGGGACTGGTTCATGGCAATTCTTTAATAGAAGCAAGCAGTTTCTGAAGACCATATGAGGAAAGAGAGGAGCTAGAGAGGGGTGGTATATGGGAGACACTGGAGTGACTGATGCTGTCATCCAATCACACGGCGCTCATTTTCCTTCTTCCACTGGAGAAGCTAGCTTGATAAACCTCTTTAGCATCGACTTCTCCAGCCCAGGCACATAGGAACTCGGGCAGTCGGCATGTGCTAGTGATGGGTCTCTGGAAGAGCACACTTGCTACCCTGACTCACACACGAGACTGCTTCACGCTGGGACATGAACATCCTCCAAGACAGGCAGGTGTAGTCCCAGAATCAGAACCAGTCACCCACCCACAAATGCCAGCTTTCTTTAAAAACTACAATGAGTTCACTGAGGAGAGCGTATTCTGTACAAATAGACTGCTCTTGTTTTGTTTCCACAGTGCTGAGACACTAGACACTGAGTCAAGAGATGGCTTCTTCTGAAAGGCACAGCCAGGAGAAGGCACGAAGCTCTTCTTTCCTAGACACATCGTGAATTCCCGCGCTGGTGTCTCCAGCAGATTTCCAGGCTTTGCCAGTCTTGCAGCTCTTCTGCCGAACGTGTTCTCATTTCTCGAAGCATTCTACAGCCTGAGCTTTAGGTCTTAGCAAGGCCTTTGGGGACCATTTACTAATTCTCTGACTCTTGGTCTCTTTTGCACTTCATCCTCTAGCCTCCCACGGATTCTTGAGCTCATCAGATTCTCATTCCCTTCTGCTCGGTGAGACAGAAGAGACCCATGTTTGTTGCTTATGAGAAATGTGGCATTAATCATTGCAAGAATCATGTTGTGAATTCTATTTGCCAGTTGTAGTTTAGCTGGTGTGTACTTACTTCGTTCCACTTCCTTACTCTCAGTAAAATAACAAATAAAGGCAAATGTTAAAAATGCCTTTGGAGAACAGACAAGACACAGGCACAACTGTCTCTGACTAAGCTTCTTTTTTGAAATATTTTATTTGCTGCTGAGAAGAAAATGAGAAAGTACATTAAAATGGCATAGATGCAGAGCTAGGAAGCTGTTCAAGTCAACACCCTGAATTATGCTGGTATCAATAACAACATAGCATCAATAATAACATGTATGAATGTTTTAAGTGCTTTCAACCTTTCTGTAAATCCACCAAAAGAATATTCCATCAGGTTAATCTACATTGGAAAATGACTTGAATTTGGGAAGCTTCATATTTAGAACGACTTTGATTGGATTGCCTATTAAAGAGAGTTTATGTGTTTATCATTAGCAATTCACAATCTAATATTGCCAGTGAGAAAGTTGTGAACAGCTGCCACGGAGGATTCCAAAATATCACTGTGCAGCACAGGCACCAAGGCTCACCAAAACGAAGCCCACTTTTCTCTCCAGTCAGAGAAAGAGAAAACCCAAGATTGTTATGCATTCAACAGTCCATTTGGGGAGGCTAATTAGGGAGAGAAGACCTCGAAATAGAAGTCACCAGAAAAAGCTAGCAGATGAGACATTTTCGAAGCTCAGTGTGTCTTTTGTCACAGACAGACCACCTGCGGAGCGAAAGCCGCCCTCGTCCAAAGAGTAGCCATGAGTTCAGGACATTTTCTAATGTCTAAGGATTAAAAACAAAACCAATCATAGTTTATGAAATTGACTTTAGGGGTTCTGGCACCTTTCAAGTGTCAAGTTTCCAAGTTAGTATAACAGGTGTACAAAGTGAGTGCCCAGAAAAGATTCGCACACGAGTGTGGGGTGGTTGCCTTGACCCAGATGTCACAAGAACCGAGAACGAACAGGCGAGTGCATAACAAGAAGTTGAGTACGTAAAACCCCAGGTCTGGATTCTAATTTCAGGGCTCTCGGGTTAGAACAACCGTCCTTCCAGCCAAGCATCACAACTCCTGGAAACTGCGTCATTTCGCTCTCAGTGCTCTGTTCTGTGTAGATGGCCGTCAAGGGCGAGATGGGAGTTATTCTTGCATGAGCTGTGTTTAGTTAAGTATCACTGATGAACACATGTCTCAAAAACCTGGAATGATGCTTTTGCTTGACAAGTTGGCAGGAGTCTTAGTGTGAGAAGATTCTCAGGATTTTGTCCTACAGGGTCTCTCTCCCACTACACTCCCACTACAGGCCGAGAATGTTGACTGTCTGTGATGGGAACAGCTACCAGAATTAGTGATGGTTTCCATGGGGTTCCCAGAAGACTGGCATATCCCTGTCTGTACAGGACTGAACTAAGAAAAACTTACACTCGGGATTTTCCCGCTCTGAGTTGCTGCTTTCTGAAGAGTTGGCAGCTTGTGCCTTAAGAGAGGTGGGATAGAAGTTTGACTTTTCAACTTCATCAACGTCAGAAGATCTCAGATGCTCTGTTAAAGATCTAAGACTTTTTTTTTTACTTTCTCTTCAAAAAACTATTTTTTATTGCATAAACCTGACTCTTTCCTTTTACAAGAACAAGGTAAAGACAGACAGTTGTGAACACTTCATAACGAGGCATAACGAGCGTGCCCCTCCTCTGAGCTTGGGCTGCCAGTGCTCAAAGGCCAAGGGTCTCCCTGAACTGTGCTCTCAAGGCCCCACTTCGGTTTCTGCAGCTTTTGAGGGCGGATATCTCTGTCCCCTGGGGGAACGAGCCCTCCTGATTTGAGCAGATTCTGTGTATAAATTCCAAAGCTCTGTTGGTGATAATCCCAGCCGCATGACCCACCCTACTCATGTTTGGTTCCCACAATCGGAGATGGTGTTCAAAACGCGGAAAAACTCCTGGTTTCCTTCAAAGGACACCCTGTCACAGTGTGTGAGCCGGAACCCGAGGGCTTCTCTGTGTCTCCTGCAGGACTGCGGAGAGAATGTGGACTGGCAGCTTTGGGGAACCTGAAGGGAAGGAAGCTCACCTGACCTTGCATTGAATGCATTGAAGTGGTTTCACATTTTAATGGTCAGCGCGCCACCTGGAAAGAAGCAGGATTACAGCCTCTACTTTATAATCTAGGAAACCGAAGCCCAAGGAAGTTAAATAATCTTTCTTCCACACACCGTTCACAGGAAGGAAGGAAACCGGGAAGGCATGGTAGGTTTGCACGATGCCAAAGCACAGACTCTCCTTCCTGCTCTAGGCAGCCTCATTCCTGTTCTTGGGGGCCTTGGTGATCCAGAACCTTTGAGTGCGCTCTGTTCTGTCAACCCAAGAGGCCTGTGTAAACGAGAGGGCGCAAATGTGGGAAAGAGACCCATGGTGAAGAGAGTGGACGGGAGGGGGAGATGAGAGCAGGAAGGGACACGGCAATCATAATGTACTTTACACACGAGTGGCAACGGTCTGCGAGGTTGCTCTGCCTCAGACTTGCAAGACCAGGAAGGTGGGCCTGGGCTAAGGACAGGACGCCCGGACCCTGCCTCGTGCAGCTGCACGAGACCCTAGCTATTTCCAGGCTTTGGAAGTTAGGCTTCCAGGGCCGCTTCCCTGAATAAGAGATGGAAGTCCACGGGGCTGTCTTCTCTGAAGCTGCTTTGGGAATAGGAACCTAAAATACACTCTTTCTCAAAGAATATTTTTTTCTTCTTTCACTCTTCATTCCAAAGATCAATGAAATCTACAGAGGGAATAAAATGATTTCTTTTTTGAAAAGCCTCTACATAAAAAAAAAAAAAAAAAAGTGTTGGCTTCCCTCTGAACCAGCATACACTCATGGTAGACACCTGAGAGAAAGCAAAGCTGCTGGGAAGTTACCAACCTCCCCACCATCTCTTATTTTATTACATTGCTTCACACACATAGTCTTGAAATCGAGCTCTTTAGAGATTTATTTTAATTTTATTTTTATTTTTTTGGTTTTTCAAGACAGGGTTTCCCTGCGTAACAGTCCTAGCTGTTCTGGAACTTGCTCTTGTAGACCAGGCTAGCCTCGAACTCACAGAGATCCGCCTGCCTCTGCCTCCCAAGTGCTGGGATTAAAGGCATGCATCACCACCACCTCCAGGCCTAGAAATTTATTTTTAAGTTATTAGTTTTTTTGAAGCTATTGTTTGAAACATGAATGCAACAAACTTAGCTTTGAAATAATACTTGCCTTTTTCTCAAGTTCGCTGCACTACTTTAAAAGTTTCCTTAATTGCAGCCTCATTCCTGGGTGTTGTGGGCGTCCCCAACATTGTCATTTTTCAGCAGTGCACGCTCCGTGCCAATCCTCACAGCACCCTCTGACTCATCAAGGACCGTTTCCTTAGACAGAAAGATGAGATCGCAGGGATTAGAATATTAACACACTGCGCCATTCCATTCCAGAGAGCAGCACCAAGTTCAGCTTCTGTCCTACTGTATTAAAGGACCCGTTTCATCTCAGTCTTGCTCGCATTAATGATTTAAGGATCTTTTCAACCTGGAGGATGAAAAATCCTTTCTTTTGCTTTAAATAATAGCTTAGCTGTTTAAAGCTCTGTTGCCGGTCTCACGACTTAGCATTGTGCATGGATCGTGTCCAGTAGTACAGACTACCCCCTATAGGATATCTTTGTTTTTATTATATAGAGGTCAGGGGGGTGGGAGAAAAGCCTCTGGCCTGAGAACCAGTTTCAGGTTGCGTGCCGCACACTTTGGGGGCTGCGTGGCACTCCCTCTCTGCAAGGCCACTTTGCTTGGTTTGTGGATATAGTGAAGAGCGATATGGTTTTAAGGAGTCTGAGTGCATTGAAAAGCGAGCGGGCATCCAGAGAAACAGCAAAGTCCCCAGCTTGACAGCCGATCACTCTTGGCTCTCCTTGTCATCTATCCCCTCCTCTCGTCCTTCCTCCCTCATGCGTACATAATGCATAGCACTGTTGCCATAGTGTTAGGGTCGGCTGTTAGGAGCCCACACAAGCCAGGCTCTGGCACTGGTCTCCTGGAGACTAGCTACACAAGCACTGAGAAAAATCAGAAAAAGATGTATTCAGTGAGGCCACACTGGGAAAAGGAACCAAGAGGCCTCATAACCCAAATGTCCTCCCATGGTAAAAAAGTATGTCGAGCCTCGCAGGCCAGATCAAGTTGGGGTTCTGTGCATCACTGACTCATCACCCTCTCTGCTGGGGTCTCCCCTGCAAGGTGGCCTAGCACATTGTCAGTCCCATCCCCAGAGACAAGTTCCTCCTCCAGCTGGCCCAGGCTTCAGCTGCTGCCTTCTCCCAGCATGAGATTCCTGGAGGAACTTCAATTTATCAGGAATCATTATTTTAATAGTATGATAGACTTGCCATTTCTGCTTAGAGTATCGTTTCCCACCAGGACTGTATCATATTGTTCAATCTACTTAGTGTTCTAGAGTCGACACCATCGACTGTCACAAAGAAAATGACTTCAAATGAGTGTATAGTTATGGTGTAATATTTAACTATGTAAAGATGTGCTACATTTATTCATGCTGTGGAATGCTACTTTAACTATGTAAAGGTGCGTTCCATTTGTTTCTGCTACCTTTGTTTTATGATGGAAGTATGGGTTAAATTTGTTTTTGGTGCAATCGTTTACGAAAAGATGTGTTGCTGTGTTACCTTGTCTGCCTAAGGCACCTCATAGGTCTAATAAAGAGCTGAATGGCCAATAGCTAGGCAGGAGAGGGATAGGCAGGGCTGGTAGGCAGAGAGAATAAAAAGGAGAAGAAGTCTAGACTCAAGAGAAGGAGAAGAGAATGAGGGAGAAGGAGAACGAGACACCCAGGCCAGCCAGACAGCCAGACATAGAGTCAGCAGGAAAGAAAGAAGTACAAAAGGAGAAAAAGGTAAAAAAAAAAAAAAAGCCTCAAGGCGAAATGTAGATAAAGAGAAACAGATTAACTTATAAGAGCTAGCAAGAAATGAACATAAGCTAAGGCTGAGCATTGTTAACTAACAAGAAGTCTCGGTCATGATTTGGGACCTGGGTGGTGACCCCCCCACCCCGGGCCCCACTGCCAAAAGAGAAAGCCTGGTACACATAGTGTTTTAATGTATAAATTACCAGATCTTAGTTAAAAAATTTCTCGCGTTCTGACATTTATGTTTTTATTTTTGACTGTAAATAACCTAGGCAAATATTCATAAAACTATATAGAAAGGTGATGGCAATATGCATCAGGAAGACAGGAGAGTGTCTCTTAACAGTTATTTGTTTATTCAGTATGTACTTTTGTGTGAGTGGGGGCACAGGTGAGCTTGCGGAGGTCTAGCTTGGTGAGGCTGGGTCTGTCTTGGAGCCATCACTGTCTAAACTCCAGTGTTGCTGGCCCAAGGGCTTCTGGGCAATTCCCCTGCCTATTTTTTGCTACAGGAGTGACAGCAAAGCTTTAAGCAATTTAGATGTGCCTGAACCCTTTCACGTGGCTATGCATATTATCTGCATCACGCTACAGCAGCCTTGCATATGTCACACACTTCCGCCCCCGGAACCTTTGCAACGCCAGCCCGCAAACAGCCTTTCCAGCCAGCCACGTTTTAACTGCTTAGGAAAACGAGAGTCCACATGGTCCATGTCCCACCACCTAACATCTAGGTAATTAGGGAATGCCTTAGCTAATTATTTATTTACATTTTATTTGTATATTTTCATTATATAAAGTGAAGGGTTTCAGAAAGATATCTTAGTAAGTATGCAACATATTTTGATCCCGTCTGCCTCCCGTCACCCTCTGCCATCTCCTTCCTCATTCTCACTCGTCCTCTTTCTTATCACAATCTTTCTTCTGCTTTCATTTGTATATGTGTATGTATATATGTATATATTTGAGAGTCTGTGCAAAAGAGGAAATAGAAGGCACTTGCTTTTTTCAGCCTGTAAATTTTGTGTGTGTGTGTGTGTGTGTGTGTGTGTGCTTGTTTTTATAGTTCTGACACATGCTTGAAATAGGAGAGTGCTCAGAAACCAAGTATGTGGGTATGTGGTGGGGGCAGGCACAGAGAAGAAGGGAAAAGGAACTACCCAGGGAGCCACAGGATTGGTGTGAACTTGCTCTAATGTGTGGTGTGCCTCCATCTTCCTACCCGGCGTGTCTAATCTGAACCATCTGGGGTTCAAATCGTGTTGCTGTCCCTCATAGCAATAGGAGTGGAATTTTATCTGGCTGCTCACTCCCCAATCCAGGCCCACAATGTACTGGATATGCCCATATCGAACAGCACGAGATGGTTCTCATTGTCAAAGTGATGGGATTTCAGGGCTGGGATCGTTTACAGTTAATGGTGTGACATTAGTAGGTTGATGGATTTAGCTTCAGCCTCAGGAGCTAAGTCCAGCTCAATCATCTGACTCCAGTGATGCTGTAACAGTTCAAAAGGACATCTCAGAGCTGCCAGCTGCCAGCATGCTGCTTCTCAGATAAGTCAGGCCTGTTCCCTTGACTTCTGAGCAGACTGAGCTCACAGCAATTGCCAAAACCCATTAGTTGCAGAAGATGAGGACTTAACTTAAGCCCACTTAAATATGAAATGGAACCCTTGTAGCTAACACATGTAATTCACACAACTGGAAGTTGTAGGCAACGTGTAGTCAGTGGTCAAATGGAACATGTCCCTAGACACCACACCACCCTTCTCACTGTGTCTCTTTGTGCTGTATGTAAACAGAGACTTCTCTTTTGTTTCTCAGCCTCCCAGACCTGAATGATCATACAGAAGCTATATTAACTACAACACTGTTTGGCCAGTGGCTCGGGTGTATTTCTAACTAGCTCTATATTTTAAATTAACCCATTTCTATTAACCTATGTATCACCACGAGGCTGTAACTTACCAGTAATATTCTGATAGACTTTTCAGTGAAGCAGGAAATTTGAAGATCTGTTTTGCCTTCGACTGGTAAACTTCATCAATTGCTTTCTTCTGTGTCCAGTAGAATGTCTGACAGTTTCTTCTGTGAAGCAGGAGCACCGAAGGGCCATTCTGTCTTTTGTAAAGTTCAGCAGTCACTTTTCTGTGGGTCCTGCATGTTCAGTTTATACAGCATACCATCAAGCAGTCCAGGCAAGAACAGTTTCTTGCCCAAATGGCTAGCCTTGTCACATTGAAGGCAAATTCCATAACAAGTTTCTTCAATGCCCATCAACCTCTCTGAATTAATTGGTACTGCCAGAAGCAGACATGTCTCACTGCCAGGAAAAGTCTAACTTCTTAAAACATTTTAAATGCCATATTCTGTTGGTCTTTGAAGTATTGAAGATTATCTATCTAACTGAAATATATCTCGCTATATCTAGAAAACCTAACTAACATGACTAAAAGTTTAATTATTCTAGATGACTATCTTTAATCTGTATTTCCTAATTGTACATTACATTTTTAAATGAGCTGCATAAACATAATATCTTAAACAAGAGTAGAAATATGTATATATAATGTAACAAAACTGACCTTAAATTTGTATCAATAGACCAAAATCCATTCCAATGTAAAGTATTCATTTTTATATCATAGCTTTCCCCCTTTTTAAAGAAAGAGATTGACTGTGACAATTAACCCTTGATAGCCCACCCCCTTTTAAATGAAAACAAACATTTATAAACAATCATTTGGAAATTTGGGAATAATTTTCTCCAAACTACTTTCTGCTGATTGTTGGTCAATGTCTTTTTAAGATTCATGGAGACCTTTTCTGGGGTTTTGGTCTATCAAACCACATTATCCTGGAAGGAATCCACAGGTTCCCATCTTTGTGAAAACAAAAGCAGAACCTCTTTTCCCAAATAACATATCCTTAGATTCAAATTTTGAAGTCAAGTTACCTTTAAAATATACATGTTGGTTTAGCTTAGCAGCTTCCAGAATCAAATGTCTCTCTGCAGTCAAAAGATTCAAAGAAAATACAATAATATACACAATCTAGATTCTTTGTTTATTTTTCATCTTTTCATGGCCCATTTTTATTCTATTTTTCTTTTAAGAACTTCAATTTATTATCCTTAAATTATTTTTTTAATCTATGATTCTATCTATTTTTTTTATCATCTCTGTCTTAAGTCCATGTACATTGGTCAAACATAGTATGGCCTGTTCAGATGCCTTTTTTGTCTGAATCTATCTTTACTGTGCATCTGTAATCATATTCTGATCAGGAGTGTTTTTTTTTTAAGTGCTAAGTGATGTGGCTACTATTAACACTGCAGCTTTGCTTGTTGGTTCTGCCCCATGCATCATGACAGAGGTATACTCACCACCTCTGCAAGCCATACTCACTGCATCAGCTCTAGGGATGCAGCGGGTCTATGCCACCATTAAGTAATTAGTAGCATGCTGCTCACAAACCCTAGTTAAGTGTTCCATAGGCCCTCCCAAAGGAGCCAGAGTCATTCTTGCCAAGAGCATGGACCAGGAAACCATCTCTTAAAGAAGCTGCACCTCTGCTCACAAACAGAGCCTATCTGAAAAAAATGTGGCTACCAAGAAGTTGCAATTGACTCCCATTTTTGTGAATCTACAGCACCTTTTTTTTAAAGCTTTCTTAGGCTTTATGTGGATGTATGTTGCTGAAAATTATGTGCTATTATGTAAAGAGAGATTGGGTTTTTGTTTCCTGACTGCCCAGACCCGAATAATCACACAGAAACTGTATTAATTGAAACACTGTTTGGCTAATGGCACAGGCATATTTCTATCTAGGTCTTACATCTTGAGTTCAATCATTTTTATTCATCTATGTATTATCACAAAGTTGTGGCTTATTAGTAATGTTCTGGCATCTATCTCTGAATTTCCCTCCTGGTGTCTACTAAGTCATAAGTCAAAACAGCTGTATTCATTGACCAATAAAAGCAACATAAACAAAAGAACATCCTACATCATAAGTAGATCCTCCCCATATAGTACTCCCAGCAGTTTCTACCCGATAGCTTCCTGGCTTAGCAACCCCAGATGAGTTTCTTTTCACATTTTAGTCATCTGTTCTTATCTGTCTCTGAAATCTCTGGAGTACTGGGGTGCTCTTCTTACCTATTCCTAGAGACTCAGAGTTTGTGTCAGCCTCAAACACATTAACTTCATAGGCAGACGTAGCTCTCCCTCTCACCCCAACCACTCAAAAAACAAATCTTGCCATGAAGTCAAACACAGATGACAGGACATTATGCAGGATTAGTGGTCAATGCCTTATATATAACTCAGTGAAGTCAATCTAGGACCAGAGACTTGATGAATGTTAGCTTGAAGGGTGATAGGACTAACATTTTACTGGTAAGTTGAATGAACAAGATGACCCACTGCAGGGTAGCTGGCCCTTAGCCAACCATATGAAGGCCTGGGCAGAACAAAAGATATTCCTGTAAGGAACGCCAGAAGGAGAAGTCTTTCTGCTTGGCCACACTGGAATTGGAACTGGAACATACTTTCTTGCCTTCATACCTTTGTACTCAAACCAAAGCTGAGACTCCCTCTGGCCCAAATCACTAGTGTTTGTTATTTATTAGTTACTATTTTGCGTGTGCCATTACCCTTGTGTAAAGCTGGAAGACAGCCCTAGTTCTCATCTTCTTCCTTTACTTGGGCTCCAGGGACAGAACTCTGGTTATCTCGGCAACAAGCATTTTATCTGCTCGGCCATCTCCTCTGAATCAGTTTATATTCCTAAAACCACACTTAGCTCCTAGAATGACTGTCAAAGCTGCAATTAAGTTCTGTGGTTGATGACTATAATCAAAGATAGCAACTGCAAAGAACGTTGGAATCCCCTTGAGTAGCAAGTTAGGAGCCTACTGTATGTAATAAGGCCAAGACGAAATACGGCACTATTGCATCAGGCTGGGACCCGACATCAGTGACATCAAGATCCATGGGAAATGCCAGTGCAAATGCCTGCCTCACCTTCCAGCTAAGGTTCATTTCTGATGACAAGCCTGACTGCACTCGCCACCATGAGGTGACCACTCCAGTTCTCTGGGTCTGTTTTCTATTCCGTCACATGAGTTCATGGGTCTACAGGGCCACCCTGTGGCTGCGTGGTCTCTGAGTGATCCTATGGGACCCTGCACTCACAGACACCTCATACCTGCGCTGCTGAAGTGCTCTCTCTGTCTTCAAATTCGCCATGGATTTCTTAGCAAGGAGCCCAGTGGTTTCAGTTTGTACAATGCCTATAAATGACGTGACGGGCATGTGGCCCAGGTCAGTGAGTCCAGGGATTGCTGTTGTCTGCCTATGCAACAAAGAGATTAAAGCCCTGCTTAATTAGAAGGGAAAAAAATAAACAGAACTAAAACTGTTTATTTATTAAAGGATATCTCAGAGTCTTCTCTATAAAAATGTGCTTTGTAACTCAGGTTCAAGTCACTTTCTAAACAACCTGGCCACAAAGTCCCTTCTAACTTTTATTCATTCTTTGTTTAATTTTTAAAAGGACATAATCTAATGCAGTAAATACTACACAGAACACATTCTGAATGTTTAATGTTTGCTTAGATGTCTAAACTCTACAATTTGTACTTCATAAAAATTCTGATTATTGTCAGGAGTCATGTGTCACATGTCAGGGGAACAAGGCTGTGATTAAGGAAGAGAATAGGTGTCAAGTTCCATGTGCAAAGGTGAATAACGCTATTTGATGGCCCAGGACTTTGCTGCAAGATTTACCTGCTGCGCCCTCTCTAATGCCTGTATCCACCCATGTCTTTCATTCTCTGCGTTTTTGTTTATGTCGTTTCATTTATATTATGTCTACCTCATTGTCTTACTCAATCTAGTAAATTCTTTTTCCAGCATGCTTCTTTCATTTACTTGCCTTTATCCCTCCAGATTTGTAAAACACAGCCACAGATGAATCGATGCTGTGCAGAGCTGTTCTGCCCTGTCAGTCTGTTCTTTACTTGATACTCCGAACTCACAAAATCCTCAGGACACTGTCTGGTAAATGCACTTTTTGTGGTGGCTGCTGCCATGTGAGACAGGAAGCCATTTGCTTCTACAGCTGCCTCTCCAGCTGGCCTCCTCTGTGCTTCCACACGCAGACCACAGTGACCTTTTGAGACTTTCTAGTTAACCTCAAGTTCTCTGTTTTTTGTTTGTTTGTCTCTAGTTATCACCTCTCTACTACTCAATGGTTCTTATTCGGGTCTCCACCCAAAATCGTCTCCTCATGGAGCCCTTCCATATCCTTGTTGAGACTTTTCTAACAAAGGTACCCTCCCTGCAGCGAGGGCTGAGGCAGGCTAGAAAGAAGGGGAGAAATAAGAGGACAAAGGAAGGGACCCACCCAAATAATGCATAAAATGGAAAGTACCTATAGAGATGGTGCTGTTTGCCTAAAGAAACCTCAGGGAGGATATAAAAACCATTTCGTGCAGAATGCCTGCGTCCTTGGCTTTAGCGGCGTTCACAGGCCTCACATGTTCATAAATCTCAGCAATGCTCCTCCCAGTCTACCTCCCAATTTCACTTACAAAAGGGAATTCTTTTGGGAAAGTAAGTGAATGAACTCATATAGTTTTACTTAATTTTTAGACTACTTCAAAAGCTTCACACAGTTTTTTGGACCTTGTTGTCCACCATTTGAGCAACATAGCTTGGGATATTGAGGAAGGGGACTCCCCGGGCTCCTGGCAGCATTGTAAGACTATGTCCTGACTCTTGTTTTGGATGACACTTAGTGAATGGTGTAGGAGGATCTTCTGCCTATGTGTTGCTTTCATTGGTTGAATAAAGAAACTGCCTTGGCCTTTTGATAGGGCAGCACGTAGGTAGGCGGAGTAGACAGAACTGAATGCTGGGAAGAATGGCAGACAGAGAACCGCCATGGAGCTGCCTGGTCAGACACACTAAGTCTTTCCCAGTAAGCCATGATTTTGTGGTGACATACAGATTTTTAAAAATGGGTTAAATCAAGATGTGAGAGTTAGCCAAAAGGAGGCTAGAGCTAATGGCCAAGCAGTGTTTAAATTAATACAATTTCTGTGTGGTTATTTTGGGTGTGAGCTAGCTGTGCAGCCGGGATGAAATGCAGACCCTCTCTCCCTCAACAAGTGAAGACCATTTCAGTCTACTCTCCACACAAGGCGTCATTCATTTATTTATTTTCTTATTGTCTTATGGCTAGAATACAGATGCCTTGAAGGGAGGGGTCAGGTCTCCCTTGTCTCTCTGATTCTTATCAAATGTCTGACATATAGGCTATGCTCACTAAGCATTTGATCACTGGATGAACCTGTGAATGGATTTCTGGCTTCTAATGGAATCCTTGCTCTGAATTCCTGCAGCTGTTTGTGCTTCTTCAACCCTTGTATTCTGCTTCTGTGCATCACTTGGGGGCTCGTTACAAACTCTTCAAGTTGTAACTCACAGAGCTTTGTGCTCTGTAGTTGTGGTTGGCACAGAACACACACTCAATAATTCTGATTGGTTTAATTTGAATAAGTGAAAACTTTCAATGATCTACTAAAAACTAGAAAAGTGGGTTTTTGCTTTGCTTTATTTATTTTTAAATAAAACCAGTATCTGGAGATGGCTCAGTTGTTACGATTGCTAGGTGCTCTTCAAGAGGACCTGGGTTGGATCCCCTGCACCCACATAGCAGCTCACAACTGTTTCTAATTCCAGTTCTGGGGAGCCAACCCTGTCTTCTGATCTCCATTGGCACCAGGTAAGCAAGTGGTGCTCAGACATATATGCAGGCAAAATCCTCACACACATGAAATAAAAATTAAAATAAAGGAAAATAAAGCCACGAGAAATATTGAGCTCCTTGCCCAAGGCAGGCACGTTTCCCAGCCATTCAGCAGTCTTGGAGAACAGCCTAAGCACTGATCTCCACTGATCCAAATCAGCTTCATTAAACACTTCTGGCCCTGTGAGATGGATGGCTTGTGGGCACAGCCTTGACAGCCAGGAGGAGAAGATCTCCACCTCCAGGTGCTCCCGATGGATGGCTTGTGAGCACAGCCTTGACAGCCGGGAGGAGGAGAAGATCTCCACCTCCAGGAGTTCCCGTCCTGCTCCTGGCCCTGCCAAGCTGGAGAAACTTTCAAGGAGAAACTGCTGTAGGCACAAGGATGAAACAATGTCCCTGTTTCTAGACGTTTTTACAGGTTCCCTCCATGTAGGGAGGAAGCTTGAACACACCACACACATTTATGTAGGACTGTAGCAGTGATAGCTTTTGTAAAGAGAACGTTCAAAATGAAGGGACCATGACCACTCTCTGGGTCATTGTGTCTCCACAAAAGCAACCCTGCATCCTAAAAGATCTATCCTGAGGGCTAACATTTTGGTCTAGTGAGTGAACCCCAATGTGATGATGTGCAGTTAGCACCTGCAACTTTAGCGCCCAGCAGAAATGTCATCGGAATGGTTTCAGCATGGGCAGGAGCAGCTTTTTGAGCTCTGAATAACCTGTAAGAAGAAAAGTCCTATGGTCTTACAGGCCCCACAAGGATGACACTTTGTTACTTAGCCAGGAGGAGTTTAATCTGGGTCAACCGAGAGTGACCCTAGAAAAATCACAATTTCTTGCTTTACAAATATTGTTTTCCATTCAGGGTGAGGGGTGGTCATCTGTCTCCCTGGAAGCCTGTTGTTCAGGACAGTCAAGAAATTGACGGTCAATTGGCACCTCATACTTGAGAATCTCTGTCAGATAATTTACTCCTACCAGCAGGAGAGGGCTCAGATTGCACGGAGACAGTCATGTTTATTATGTCTTCCTTTCTCAATCTAGTTCCTGTGTGCAAGTACAGGAAGTGTGTTTCCTGGAAGCAGAGCACCGCTCCCAGAAAGTCATGATGCTCAGGAAAGTCCTGAACTGTAAAGATCCATGAGATTTTGTGAATGTAGAGAATGTTTAGCTCACTTGTGAATTCATTGAAGCAAGTGATTGGGGGACCATGGAAGATCTTTGAGCTGAAGCGCCCTGATTTGGGCAGAGAGAATGACTTCTGGGACACGGGCTCTGCCCTTGTGTCCTAATCCATATGTAGTGTTTACCCAGTTCCACAGTCATGGAAACAGGGGCCCCCAGAAGCCGGTCTATGTACAAGGCTAACGAATGGGCTTTGAAGGAAATCTTTGACAATGACAGCCATTTAAAATCATTGCTTCTAAAGTTCTTTCTTTCTAACTTTAGGATGGCATCTACATTATCCGAATCCTGTAATGTTTTGGTTTCGGTTTCTTGAAGGACTGTGAGTTGTGGAAATGAAACGCATTCATGAAAGATGATTTTAAAAGAAAATTTTTTAAGTAGAAGAGAAATATGGTCACCATCCTTGACATTCAAAATTGTAAAAGCAGATGGAGCAAAATGGCAGGGAGCTACTGCCACAGGTTTCCAAACGGTACTACCTTAGAGGACACTCGGACCACTTGACCATTTTTTCCTCGATCTTACTAGTTGCAACAGTGGCTCAACAGCATGAGGGACATTGATTAAGGGAGCCTCTTTAATAGACAAGGCAATAGAGTGGGGACCTACACAGTTACTGAATGAAACCACATATAGGAATAGGCCACAAGGTTCATCAGAGAGGACGGGGTGTAGATGAAGCCCGGCACAGCCATGGAGAGAGACACTCATTTCCTGTTTTCAGCCCTGAGCAGGCCCTTCTAGATATGGGAGGAAGTTCTCTGATATTTGAACATGCTCACAAAAATGTCTGCAAAAATATTTTTCCTTGTCCATTTCAGAGCATGCTAATCAGAGAGGCTCTTTAAAAGCAGTATTTTTTATCTGAATTTCAAATTCATTCACACCCATTAGCTGCTCAATTAGGTGAAGCAAACTTTTAGTTGCATGCCAGGGGCTTCATTTAATTTGCCTGGGATAAGCAGTTGGCCCTAACTAGGGAAGCACGTGTGTGTTTGTGTGTATGTGTGTGCACTTGTGTGCATGTATGTGTGTGTGCATTCATGTATGTGTGTGTGTTTTCCAAAGATACTAAATCAGAGCAGTATTTTTAAAAATGCCTAAAATGCCAGGTATAAATTGGCCATAGTTCACATTGTACAAGAAATTAAAGATTTAATAGCTGGTGTAGAGACACATGAGTCCCCTCCCCCAGGCTGCTCTCTCTCCAGGTGTGTGTTTTTTCCCCTCTTCAGAACAACTCATGAAGACATCAGTTCTTCAGAC